GCAGGTCTGAGTGGTGGAGTGGGCAGGGCTGAGTGGTGGAGTGGGCAGGTCTGAGTGGTGGAGTGGGCGGGTCTGAGTGGTGGAGTGGGCAGGGCTGAGTGGTGGAGTGAGCAGGTCTGAGTGGTCGAGTGAGCAGGGCTGAGTGGTGGAGTGGGCAGGGCTGAGTGGTGGAGTGGGCAGGTCTGAGTGGCAGAGTGAGCAGGTCTGAGTGGTCGAGTGGGTGGGGTCTGATCGGTGGAGTGGGCTACACCACTCATTACTTACGATGAAATAAAAATCTAATCTCCTTGCTTTGGTAAGACCAGGCGATGCATGTCCAGTGAGTAATGATATTTTTTTTAAATTGATGGCCAATGCATAAAACGATAATCAGCAATAATCATTTCAATAATAAATGCTTTTCCTGCCGCCGATCTTTCGCATTTGTATTTCCATTAATCACGTAGGTATATGTATTAGTATGTGAATTAATCACGTATATGTATTAGTATGTGCATTAATCACGTAGGTATATTTATTAGTATTTAATCACGTATATCTAGGTATTACTATGTGCATTAATCACGTATATGTATTAGCATATGCCTTAATAAGGAACATTTATTCGTAATATCAGCCAAGATGCTGGACTACCTACAAGAAGACCTGGACTCCATGCAGAAGGAGCTCCACGACTGGCGGGACGAGAACAAGAGTCTGCGTCACACGCTTCGAGCTGAACAAAGGTATAACTTTATTATATTATATTGTATAATATTGTATTGCTAATTTGTTATGTATATAATATTGTTTGGTTATTTTATTATATAATATTGTATTGTTAATTTATTACCTATATAATATTGTATTGTTAATTTTTTATATAATATTGTATTGTTAATTTGTTATATAATATTGTATTGTCAGCTTTGATTAGGCTATGTTGGCCTGTTGGCCTAAAAATTAGTTAATCTCGTCGATTTCGACCAGAATTTTTACAATTAGTTGAGGATTTCGAACCCCAACTTTATACTGTAATCATGGCGATCCTAACCTCTGGGCCACCGCGAGCTTAGATTACTTACGTTCACTTAGCGAGTTTTGAAAGTATGGCCCCAGCACTCTAAAAAATTATTGCTCTACGGAATAAGTAGATTCGAAAATAGGTAAGTTTTGCCGGATATTGACTTTGAGTGTAAAAGTAAAACGATTGATAAGATCACAGAATGACTAAGAATTTACGAACAAACCAAATTTTTTATTTATAAATTAAATTCTTGTTTAAATAGCAACTCTCGTTCCTATCTATTTTAATTTGATAATAGATTATTTTCCCGGTACTTAGACCCTATACAATATTTTACTCTTGAATATAACAGGCGTAGAAAGAACACCTGTACGGGTGTTTATAATTCTATTTATTTAATGCTGATTCCTGAACTCATTTACCTATACCATTCACTCGTGAACCTCAGTTATATCAACGCATCATCATTCTTATCACTATCATTGATGCTCGCCACTACCTGAAGCGTGTGCTGGACTTGGGCCAACGATAGATGTTGAACGCGATTTCCTTTGTCGCGGCGCTAGCGATGATCAATTTTCATCATTATTTGATGCTCATGCTGCTGCTCATGTTGATGCTCATGTTGATGCTCATGTCTTTGCCCATGTTGACTCATATGCTAACGCCAATGCACATGTTGAAAGTTACATGCTCATGTTTTTACCCATGTTCATGCTGCTCATGTTGTTCCTCATGTTCATGGTGCTCATGTTGTTCCTCATGTTCATGCTGCTCATGTTATTCCTCATGTTCATGGTGCTCATGTTGTTACTCTTGTTTATGTTGTTTCAGCAACATGGCGTCTGCCATCGAGCCGCTGACGGTACAGCTGAAGGAGCTGGACGCAGCCATCCTAGAGCAGCAGGACCGCATCAGCATCGTCAAGTGCTCCGTGCTGAGGAATAACGACCGCATACACTCCCTCCTGTCAGCCGTCAGTCTCGGTGCTGACTAGTCGTCTGACTCTTGTGCTCTGACTAACCTCCTGACATTTTATGCTCTGATTAACCTTCTGACATCTTACGCTCTGATTAACCCTGTCAGCCGTCAGTCTCGGCGCTGACTAGTCGTCTGACTCTTGTGCTCTGATTAACCTCCTGACATCTTACGCTCTGATTAACCCTGTCAGCCGTCAGTCTCGGCGCTGACTAGTCGTCTGACTCTTGTGCTCTGATTAACCTCCTGACATCTTACGCTCTGATTAACCTCCTGACATTTTATGCTCTGATTAATCCTGTCAGCCAGCAGCCTCGGCGCTGACAAATCTCCAGAAAACTCGCTGTCAGATTAACCTCCTGGCAACTTACTCTTCGATTAACCACTTGACATCTTACGCTCTAGTTGACATTTTTCACTTATTTCATTGCTAATGGCAAATAAAGTTCATTCTTCACCAGAAACGAACCGGTTACGGAACCGACCTAACCATTCGCTAAACGCTTCAACTGTTTAACCATTAATTTAAGTGACGATGGGATCCCAATAATTTGATGTCTAGAATTATTTACTTTGAGCATAATTGGTTTCCTCTTTATGCGAGTTATTTTAAACCTTATTCTCATTTGTCATATTCTACGTATTCACCTCAAATTTTATCGTAATTTAGCTATTTTATATTCCTTCATGTTAATAATTACTTTTACTGTCCTTCATAATACGATATTCACCTGCAATGTTCACTCAGTGCTCAACATATCAATTTATTTAAGGTATCTACAGTTGAACTCATGAACCTTGTTGCCATATTCAACACGTTGAATGTGGTACGACCAATCTGTTGGTTTACCGGTAGGTCAGCGTTGAATGCGCGTTGATGCTAGTCTATAATTGAATATAGGAACTTGAATCACATTGTCGTTAACGATCACAGATTCGTGTACATATATTTTATCCAGAGTTATAATAAATATTTATAGTTCGGTAACCGCACCCGAATAGATAATTAAGTTATATAACTCATATAGAAAGTAGTTATAATCTTCAGCTCATTTCTTAATTTATATTTTTAACTTGAGTTTTCTTTCTCCAATTTTTTTCAAATGAATCTAAGAAATGAAAGGAATTCAAATGAATTCATTGAAAAGAATATAAATTTGTTTTTGTGTCTACAATCCGTAATAAAATGTTTTTTAAAAGTAATTCATGCTATCTATGAATGCACTACACAAGAACTAAATATATTTCAGGCATTAACTATTGCGTATCTGCACGGTGAGTTACTTAATAAGAGCTCCATGCAATATAGCACTTGCTGCACTCTCAACGCTCTATTCTAACTTATTCATAAGTCATGTTATCAATTGCTTTGTGGTGTGACATTTTCGTAGTATACATGAAAATATCGAAAAATACCCAAAGAACTTTCGGTGCAGTTCGAGCATTTCATACCCTATGTAATGTTAACTCTCATATACACTTGGAGGAACTAGTGAGTCTTCGTCCAAGTACCGATAAAAAATTAGCCCATGTGTGCTACCTGCAGAATGTATGTCACTATTTGGATAATATAACCATCATTGTTCTGAGTATAGGTAACAAATATGACCAACATTGTTCTGAGTGTAGGTAACACTTGTGCCTCACCCGACGCTGCAGCAATTTAGGGCAGGGTGGCCCAGTGGTTAAAGTACAGAGTACCATGATTGGAGCAGAGAGGCGCGGGTTCGATCCCAGCTCTGTGCGCCAGTTTCTGGTCAGAATCGGCAAGGAGGCCGGGCGGTTAAGCACAGCAGAATTCAAGTACTGACTTGCGAGTTCGAGACCGCAAAATTCTGTGAATGTTCTGCGATGTTGAGAATCGGCGACAGGCCTACGGCCTAATAAACGCTGAAACCGTTATTATGGCAGCTTCAGCTCGGAATTAAATATGAATTTTGAGATCCATTTTTACCGCTTTGTTACTTTACCGCTATAGGATTGAAACATTGTTATTCTTAATTATCTTTTTTAACGATTAATTCGGCCATCAATGGGAGATAGAATTGTAACAAATTATCGCGTCATCGATTCAATTAATACTTAGTGAAACTATCTATACTATCTATACCAAATCTATCAATAATTTTAAATATTGTTGAGTTATTATTCCGGAATACATGAAAATGAATTTTATAAGTAATTTACAATTTGAATTTTCATGGTATTTTCATTCAGCATTAAAGAGATATCGATTGCTGGGATTCGGCTCTATCACCCCGATATATATTCAAGTGACGGAAAAATTTTGGTCCATTCTTTCTTTCTTTCAAATTCAAGTTTTGTTCCCAAGCTCGTTCTTGGTTCATTCAAGTTGATCAGCAGCTTGGATGTGCGAGAGTTGTAAATGATTTCTAATTCAACATTTTCCTGTACAATGATTATACTCGTGCCTTTTGAACTTGCCGGTGTAGTTTAGTTTTTATTGTTCTCCCTAAACTTTGATTGAATTTATAAGATTGCGATATAATTACTAGAAATTTACCAGTAATTATTAATTCATTTAACTTCAAAATACATTTGTGCATTGAAATCAATGGCAGTTTATTATTTCACTGACTCCTGCGCTTTCTTCTAAGGTGTTTCTCATGTTTTTTGCTAGTATTTGAATTTTGCACCAGACGGATTTTGCTAGTTATCATTTTGCACCAGACGAAGCATTTAACGTTCAATTATTTCGTCTGAGGGCCACGCAACATGTCGTATGCGTAAGGCGTTATGGCCGTTTTCCACTACGGGACTGATTCTGAAGGATTGAGACTGGCCTGAGACCAATAAGCCACATGGCTGGGCCTCAAAACTGGCGTGCGCGTTTCCACTACGCGCGTGTGCTGGGACCGAGACAGACCGTCTGGGCTACCGCACTCGCTGGCCTTTGAAGATAGATTATGCAGCCGCTCTTGCTTTACTAGCTGTTGTCACTATGCGCAGGAGGAAACAAAGATCTATTTACCTAATAGCAGTTATGAAACGCAAGAATGGTTTCAAACTTCTCATTAACATAGTTTATTCGTGTAATAACATGCATTCACCAAGGGATTGAGAAACAGCATTATCTTATTATACCTTTAATGTGTGGAGAAAATTAGATGCAATAAATACGTCACAATGTGTAATAATGTCTGGTTTTTGGTCTATAGATTTAGATAATGTCAAGGCGTTAATCAAGGCGTGTTTGACAAATGCTACTACTATTATTAGTTATTGTGTTCATTTACTATTTACTGAGTATACATACACTGTAAGTACAATAAGATAATTAAGATTTTTTATTTGACGGACAAGTGAATCCATGTTAATAACCTGATAAAATCTGTTAATAAGAAGTTAGGAAGTATTATTTTCATTTTTCGATGTTCGTGGATGGATATAATTTCTCCATTTCTTTACTTATTTTCTCTAATTCTGTCCCTGTAAAAAGAGCTTTTTACTTGCCAGAGGCAAGATGCCTCTCTATATTAATCGATAAGCCTTTCAGTGACATCTCTGCTCCAGTTTCCGTAATACGATAAAACCTACTAAGGGCGCAAGAATAAAATTCAACCCGAATTTTATTCAATCGCGGCGAGAAACCTAGACATATATATCAGTACTAGCTTCCTACTTCATTGGCTACTTGAAGCTAAAAACATATTTATTCAAATAGTCGACCCGACAATTCTAAAAACTGATGGCCTTTACCAAAACGGAACACGAGACGCACCAACTCCACGAGAGCCGCTTATATCTTTCAGGGGAAGCCCTCATATTAACGGGCGAACCCAAGCGGCACAGACACCGGGCCTGGAACACGATGTCTCGATCCAGGCAAGCCTAGGGCGATCACGCCTACACGATGAATTTCATGATTTTAGTTAATCTCATCATTATTAGGCGCTCCAATAAGGTACGACGGTAGACGCCCAACGCGGCTCGGCTATGCAGAGCGCACTGGAAACCAAGGGGGCAGACTGGTCAAAAAGTCGGCTCCCACGTCAGGTAAACACTGGGGGCGGTCGGCTTCTTCACGGTTCACACCCTTGAACAAACGCCTGAGAAGAACACGGTCGGATCTCAGAAGCCGACGCCACACCAGAAAAGGTCCCTCCCACTTGGGAAGCAGAATATGCCATTAAATCTCCCAAGCAACATAGGAATCAAAACCCCACTTCACAGTCCAATAAACTTCATATAAATTCTGAACCGGCAATATTAACAGCGTCTATGTAAGACTCCTACACATAAGCCGAGCCTAACCGGCAATCGCAACCCGGACAATGACACCTCATCCACGGAAGCCAACGAACAAAATGACCAGCCTAGAACCGCTCATCCCGCTCGTGACCTCGCGGTAGATTCGTTCAGTGAACACCTGCGTGTCAAACCTCTACAGCGAGAAGTTCGCAAACTTCCTGACCTCTTACTTGTGAAGTCACGAGAAAAAATGCGTTGACACACCAAGTGGAGAGTAAATCGCATTTAGCCTTCGTAGTGCAGCTGCAGCTCCATAAATATGGCAAGTCTTCAGTTAAATAGGTTATGCGCGCTCCACGTATCCAGTTACACGGTAGAGCTCAGCAAATTGACTAACTGACGAAAGTTTTAATTCTTAGTCTAGCCTGACAGTAATTTTGTTTCAATATAAACTAACCGCCCAGCAAAGAAGCAACAGCAAAGTGTACTGAGAGAAGAGCTCCACTTCGATAAACTCATCGGTGTGTTTGTTTTAAATTCAGCGTCTTTCGTCTGTCCCACTCGAGTTATTCTCTCATATTGTTTCAAGCTTCAGTTGTTCAAGCGGCTGTGCTATATATATCATCAATTTTTTTCAATTGCTCGATATATAGCGCTGATTTGACGATACTTGGACCGCTCTTAAATAGAGAACTATACCTTAAATGGGGTTGTATTCGCCAACTATCTAATGAATGACCTTTTAACGATATACTGTATATCATTGCACGAATACGGTAGAGATAAATAAATAAGCATGAGCCTCATGTTGTTAAATAGAAGGTAATTTAAATTGTTGTCCGTATTTCATCATTATAGTAATAACTATATTGGAAACAAGCTTCTTTCTATATTGAAACTATACTATGACTATATTGGAAGCGTCTGCTTCTTACACCAAGAATTTATTAAATGCAGCTAAAATTCCTGAAACTCATCAAAGCTCTGTAACCTGAATTCAGTTTGAATTAATTATGTCTTCATAAACACGTTTATTCTTAATATTGAAATAAAGTTATCGAACAGAAACGATGCTACGATCGTTCGCTTTCGGAGATCTCGTAGTTTTTTATTGCCTCAAACTTTATACACGAATTTCTACTGTTATTGATGCCAGACTTGCAGCCAACTCCGCTTTGATCTCTAACTTAAAACAGGTATTCTGAAGTTATATTCACTTTGGCTCCGGCGCGCGTGCCTGAAGTGTTATCTTGCAGCGCGTCAGCTGAATAATATGAATAAAATGAAGCTTGGCTAAGAGAAATGCTTTAAATAATTAAACATAGCCTAGACCGAAGCGCTTCTTTCTCCTTTGCTTAACTCGATGAATATATATATGTTAATATTTCGCTACAAGACAAGACAAATTCTTCTCCGGTTACTTTGAGGGCAGTTTTTATTGTTTTTTTTTTTCAATTAGTTAAAGCGTTACATCTTAGCGCTTTTTTGTAAAGTCAACGGTCGGTCACGGAAAATTCTGCAGTAGAGTTCGCGTCATCAGACGTCTTGAATTTGCATGAGCCTTCTCGTTTACAGCAACGGTGTTCGATGTGAATAAGAATTTTGATAATTTGAATTATGAGAGACCACTATACGCGCATCGGCGATGTGAATTCACAGCCAACACAATTTACTCGTCATGTTAGCATTTCTCTTAATTTTTGCAATGCTCGCGGAACTCCAACATTGTTTCAATCAAGGCTTGCGATGCTTTTCGTGTTGGATAAAAACTGAACGCTAGTCCATCATCATCGCAGTGAAAGCAAAACAATTGAATCCTTCATCATTGATCTTGTGTTTGCTGCAAATGATTACAGTTCATACTTAATCATCTGCCGTCGCC